TCTCTGTAATGCCCTAGATTCATTCCATTTTGGATACAGTCATAGTATGTATAATTATTCCTGCCTGTATTAAGCCAGGATGTTTACAATTAATCGATGGCATTAACACATAGGACTACAGGCCCTTTTGTAAGGCTTGAGTGAAGCCCCTATCAGCCTCTATTATCTGGTGGATGAATATTCCTTTCCAGTCCATCTCTGCCACCCTGATAGGTAAGTTAAATATTTTCTTTCACAGCTCTTGTACCACTGTGACCTTGCATTTCTTCTACTTCTTAAAAATAATGACTTCTTTCCCCACTTCTTCTAGGAAACTTGGCTATGGTCCCAATTTACATCTGAAAATATTCCTTGAAATGTCTTCTGAAAAAAACCCTAAAATTCTCACTAACCATGATCTCCCATAAAGAGGAAGTGCAATATATGTAACACTCTTCCATTTTATTTATTTTTTTAAAAGATTTATTTATTTATGCATCCAAGAGCTGGGGTACAGGCCAGAGGTGTGGGGGGTGAGAGAATTCACCAGAGCCAGAGTAGGGAACAGAACAGGCAGACTGACGAAATACACTACTTAGGGGAGCAGCGGGAGTGGCAGGAGAGTTCTGCACGCCATGTGGGACCCTCGCCAGTGGCCGGGGATCGAACCGGTGCTTCAGAGGCTGCGGGCAGCTTTGCAGCCCAGCGCTCAACCGCTGCACCACCAAGGGGAGGCCCCATTCTTCCATTTTAAAAATAAAGTAATAATATTTACATATGTAACTATATAGGCAAACAAAAATGCCTTCAAAAGATGCATAAGAAATGGTTAATCGCAGTTTCCTCTTGAAAACATAACTGGGGAGCTATCATTTTGTAAGGTTTAAAGATTTTATGGTAAATATAGGTGCAGAGTCCATGTTTTATAAAGTAAATGAAAAATCTTTTTATTTTTTAAGTAGATTTGAACAGTTTAAGTTAGTCAAAGGAAGGGGTAAATTCCTTAACAGAAGCAGAAGAGAAGTGAGTCAAAGAGGACTGAAAACAGCTCAGAAGCTCTGTAGTGCAGTTTCCTGGGGGACTGTAGCAGATGCTTAGCTGAAGAAATAAGCCTGGATCAAATGCTGAAGTCTTACAATAAGGAATTATGACTTATCCTAGAGCTGATGAAGCCATTGCGAAGTATTTTGATGGAACGAATCGCTTGCTTAAAAATCTCTAATGTTATTACAGTAAATACACTAAATGGAAGTAAAACTAGGCAGACCAGACAGGTTTTTCATGGCAATTAAAGAAGAAATTATGACCTAAATAAAAGCAGTGGTAAGAGGAAAACAGGGGCTAAATAAATTTGAGATACTTAAAAGGTAACGTAGACAGGATTTGAGGACCAAATGAATGTTGGAGAAGAGTGACAGTCCTCACACTGGGCAGACACCTGGTGCTGTGATTCACATCAAGATGAGACAGGTCAATGCGGGCACTGAGTCAGTAACATCTGATGGAGAAGCAAAACTGGCAGTGAGAAGTATAAATCTGGAATGCAGGGGCAAGGTGGTGAGGACTCTGGAAATTGTTGGCATAGCGGTGGCAATAGAGTCTTTCAAGCAGAAGCGATCACTGAGAGAGACTATATATAGAGGAAAAACAGTGGAATCTTGAATTTTGCCATCACTTTAGTTCTACCCCACTACCTCTGACCAAAATTATTGTAATGCTCTCCTCACAAGTTTCTTTCCTTCCAGGATATTTTCTCTCAAGTACATCTGTCTCAAAATCAACAACTTCATGTTCCCTTTATAACATCCTTTTACTCAAAAGCATTAAATAATTCTCCATTATCTACAGATAAACCCGCAAATCTTTGGCTGTGAAGTCTCCCACAATTTTTCTTTCTACAGTCTCACATAAAAATGAATTTCTGTCCAGTTGATCTCTTCCTTGTTCTGTGAACTTCTTCTATCATACAATTTTTTTATATCATCAACATTTTATCTTTATCAAAATCTTAACTATTTCTTTCACAGATTCCAACTCAATTCCTATTCTATGAAGAACACCCTTCATATTATCAGAGACCAGATAAAATTTCTGCATTAAAAAATCACAATTATTATTCTGAACACATAATTGACTACTTCCGAGTACTTCCCTAGCTACTTCATACTCAGAATGCCCTTAGGTTTTCTGGTTCAATTTAGAGCTGCAAGAATAGAAGTTCCATGAGAGCAGAGATTTTTGTCTACTTTATTCAGTCCTAACTCCCCAAAACCTAGAACTACTTTGGACAGGCAAACTTTCCCTGAATAAGTATTAAACAATATTTAGCTAAAGTTGGTCACGTAGGTCATTTAATAATTGTTCACTAATCGTTTGGTTAATTTCCTGGCTTTATAATAGATAGATATATGAATAAGGAAAACAATTTTCTTCAAAAGAATGTGAGAAAATGGAATGAATTTCTTTAGAACCAAGAGCAAACACATAAAGCTTTTAAAGGACTTCGAAAAATCCTCTTAATTCACACTCAGTATGTAAAATAGTGTAGTCCCACTTCTGGAGCTTATTTTAAAAACCACATTAAAGAATGTGACCTTGACTTTATTTCTGTTCCCCCTTCTCCTTAATAAACTTTTTCTTTATCTAAAAAAAAAAAAAAAAAGACCATGACCTTATTTAGCAACATGGTTGTTACAGGTGTAAGTTAGGATAAGGTTAAGGTTATTCTGGAGCAGGTGAACTCCCACTCCACTGTAGCTGGTATCTTTGAAAGCAGGAAATTTGGACACAGCACACACACAAGGAACATGTCATGTGAAGATGAAGGTGGAAATTGGGGTGGTGCTTCTACAAGTCAAGGGAAACCAGATTTTCAGTCAACATCAGAAACAGGGGAGAGGACTGTGATAGATTCTTTTTCACAGGTTCAGAAGGAAAGCAGCCCTGCTTCATCTTGGACATCCAGCCTTCAGAACTGTGAGGTGCTAAATTTCTATTGTTTAAGCCTCCCAGTCTGTGATACCTTGTTATGGCTGCCAAAGTAACACATGCAGAAAATTTGTATTTCAAAGGCTGAATGAGGAATCTTTGATGGGGTTAGGACATCTTGGAGTCTGAAGACCTCTATATGTGGTCCTCCTTAACTTCTGACTCCTGATGACTAGATGAAACCCAGTGTTGGTGGAACCTCTCATTTCCTCTCCATATTTTGTAGCCTTACATGCAGAAGTATCTTGTTTGTTAGCAAATACAACATGATAAAATTATCTTGTATTAAGACTCTCCTGTGTTCTATTACCTGATTCAATCTCATTTCAACCTTTAAGATAATATTTCTCTCCCCATTTTATAGACAGAGGAACAGAAGCTCATAAAGTCTAAAGATCATACTGCCATTGTGTAATGGAGTCAAGATTTGCACCTACATACATCTTATTCCAGAGTCTGCATTCTTTCTAATATGACTATCATTTCCATAATGATATAAAAGCAAAATAACCAAATGTGCCAGTCCCTCAGATATGATGCCACCCTATGATGGTTTCTGTACAGATATCAGTGTGATCAGTTATCTGTTTGATAAGTTAATCTTGTTATTCCATAATCCTTTGCATCATTGAAGATAGAAAAACTATTCTGAGTAACAAAACTCTTTAAATATTCATTACAAAATGGCATACTTTGCTTGATTAAGTCTGAGCAGCATTAATTTTTCTATTATCTTTTTGGTAAAACACATCTACCTCCCCAAAACTAATTGGAAATAAATGTTTCTTATTTTCTTATGCATCAGATGTTGGGTGACTCAGTCATTTATTGAAAGAATTTGTTGAACACTATATAGCTAATTACTTTACTTCATGTAATTACTATAAAATGAAAAGCTTTATAAAAATTATTCACTGCTCACCAGTTTTATCTTTCATATGAGTTTGTGTGAGAACTTTTATTTTTCAAGTCTTTCCAGAAATAAATGATTAAAATAAAGCATAATAGACATACATCCCTCTGACTTATAAAATGTCCAAAATCTACTGTGCTAGATGGGAGGTACTTAGTAAGGTATTTTTGAATTATTATTATATAAATTATATATAAAATATATAAATATATATAATTAGTACACACTACATTTGTTACAAATGACAATTTCAGTTTATATGTTGTAATTATATAATTTATAATACTCATATTATATTTAAATTATAATCATAACTTGTACTAGACTAATATAATTATTTTAATATTTAGCATGTATAATACTAGAGAATTACTATAAGATAGAATATAAAGATGATTATAAGATACATAATAAGGTAATAATAATTCTAAAATGTTATTCTAGATTTTAAATGGTCTATTTGTAAGTCACAAATGACTCTATGCTTTATGAGAGATTAAGTGTTTTGGAGAAAATGCACAAATTGAAGCCCAGATCAATGATGTTAATAAAATAATTTAAGATTGTACAGGTTATTAGATCCTCTTTTATCTTTTCAGTCATTTTCCTCAGTAAGAAACAACTTCTTTCACTGCATCTGATAAATACTGCAATGTTATATCAGTGTATCCAAATGAAATTTAGTCCACATTAAGAAAAATCTTTTTGTTCTGTTGCATCACATTCTAGATGGATCATAAATACACAGGCTTTTTACTAGAGAATTAAGAAAATTATTTTCACAGAGGCATGAAACTAGTGATTACTTACCCCTAAAAATGTTGTTCATTCTTTTTTTCTCTATGTAATATGCATATACACATACACATGTATCCATGCATAGACAGACATAAATAGGTAGATATAGACATACACATATATTTGCCATTGATATTGACATTATCTAAATCATTTGCATGCTGAAAGATGATTGTAGCTTATATTGCAGAGTGTAGATTATAGATTCTGAATAGGTCAAGTTCTCACAAATAAAAGATTCTCTACACTACAAGGACACAGGAAATACTAGAAACCTAAGGGCAGGACACAGAACATAGCCATTTCTTAGCTGAGAACTCACATGTTATCATGGACATTTCGCACACACTCCTGTTTCCTGAGCTCCTCTCTGGCTTCCTTTAGGTGGTTAATGGGTTCTGCCACCCGCAGCGTTGGTTCCAAAGGCTTGTAGCGCTGCTCCAATACCTCGGCCATATCACGGAAGGGCCCCTGAACAGACAGGCAGAGGAGGTATTTCAGTACAGAGGATGACCATGGTTTATTACTGATGACCATGGTTTCTGAATACTACAAAGTATAGCAAGTTTACTAAGCTGTGTTTAAAGAAGAATGTGTTCTCTGAATTGGAAAATACACAACACAACAAGAATATCACTTACCTTCAAAATATGTAGACAAAAGAACAAGTGATTCCATGAAAAATGTTTTAAATTAAGGGAAACCTAAATTAAGGGAAAACTTTTCTATTTAAAAGTTTTCTATGTAAAAGTTTCTGGTAAGTTTGTATTGAAAGGTTACTTGGTTTTCTGATTTTAAAAAGTGCATTTCCCTTAATATAATTAAAAAAGAATTCTCTCCCTTTTTAAGTAAACTGTTAGGAAGGTCCTGAGCATTCCTCTCCTAGAGACCTCCTTTACTGATACATTTTTTTCATTAAAATAAAGCTTTAAGTGAAAAATAAATCTTACATTTAATTGTCACCCTTCCTCTACCAAATATAGAAGGGCCATCTTTTAAGGGCCATTATCTTAAGTGTTCTTTATTTAAAAATCTAGTCTATTGCTTAGTAACTCTGGTATAATAACAATCATTTAACAACATAAATATATAGCAGAGGGAAGTCTGTAAGTGGCAACTACGAAAAGAGTGATTTATAACCATCCTACCTTTAAATTAGTAGTTACTTATACTAGTTACTAGAGCCCAGTGGTTAGTTAATGCATATCATAGGAAGCACAATACAAATTAGAGGTGGCTTAAGAGTTTGCTGTGCAATTAATGACATATTGGCTTCTTTTTTCCCCACCACTATTGTTGTGCCAGAGAGAAGTGATCTATAGTGGACAAAGATTTCTACTCATATTCCTTATCCTTAAGGATCTCTTCTTTAAATAGGTTATCACTAACAAGACACAGCTGGAGTTACTGCAAGCACTGAGTGAAGACTGTGGGGCTAATAAAAAGAAATGATTCACGCCTCATTTATGTTCACTTATGTTTTACATTAATAGAAACCAATAATAGGAACCAGTTACCATAAAAGTCATGGACCGTAAATAACACAAATGGCAAATAAGTATCATCTAGTACTTTTCACAGCTGGACAGGAGGATTGCTATATTTGAAAGTAGTTAATGAATTTTTATTGGAACTTTACTTTTTAAAGATACAGTAATGTGATTTCAAGTTCACTATTAAGAAATCAAATGGGGATTCTTTTTTCCTTTAAATAGATTCTTAATTTTTACTTTGACAAAATCCTATGGTTTAAAAGTTAACATTTGGTTGTTATTAGGGGAAAATTACTTCTCTAGACCTTTTGTCCTCAGATGTAAAATGACTTTATTTGGAAATCCAATTACTGATTTCTTTTCTCATGCAGGCAATGGATGAGGCCTGATCTGTCAAGACCCTTGCTAAGGCAACCACAGCAGACAGGGCTTTAAAAGCACGGCATTGCTCTTAAGATAAGTAAAGATGATCTTAGTGATGGTCTTTCTGTTGCATTTAGAACACAGTAAACACTCCAAAATGAGTGTTATTCTCACCACCATTATTATATATTTCAGGAGGAGTTTAAAAAAGATGTTGAGCAGTAGTAGCTTCTAATGCAGAAGCAAGGGGCTAAATCCATGACTTTGAAGCTGCAGAATGCACAGAGTGCCCGAGTCTTCATGGTGCCTTCTAACATTTGGTGGTGTGTCAACATAACACATAGCCACTAGTTGGGCTACCTCACTGCATGCCCTGGAACTTGCTAGACTAGAAAATGAAAAGGGGGAGTCTTTCTTGAACATCAGAGTTTGGAATAAAATGTACTAACAACCAGAAAGTGTGAGCTAAGAAATGTGTATTGGTTTAAGCTACCAGGTTTGGGGCTAATTTATTATACAACAAGAGATTAAGAGGCAAGCCTATGTAGAGAGCTCATGGGTAGCCATCTGGCAGCCTACCTGTATGAACCAAAACCAACTCAGCTCAGGTTGGTGCTACCTGGTTGGCGCTACCTGAGAGTATTTGTCTACTCCAGCTTGAACACTGATGGTAACTATAGGGCAGCAGCTCTCTGGAACTTTCAGGATAGTGATAATCATCACCCAACCCACCCACTGTGCTTTTCAGCCCTGGGAATCATTTGTCAAACCTGCTTCACTGCAAGTCTGTCTTCACTGTGAGTATTGCATTATTTTGAGCCTTGTCTTAATTCTCCAACTTGGATTTTTAATTACTCAAACTTAATTATGTTTCCAACTGTATATAAAGATATTGATTATCAGATTAGAGCCTGCATTAAATAATTTGGTTAACATATTAGATGTTTCTAGCAATAGCAGATCATCACAACTACTGAGATTGCAAAAAATGACCAGACCTGAGCCCTTCTCCACTGTGTTCTATTCCTATTCAAACAGTAAAATTCAAGACCAAAGAAGTATTAATCACTTCCTTGGGATCTATTCTAATAGTACTCTAGAATGATTATTTAAAATTAGATTCTGTAAATATTAGTTTTCCTCTTTAGCCATCAAGACAAAACAAAAACGATGGTAACTTTTTTCAAGAGCAGAAAAACCACAGTCATTAACTGAATTCTCACACAGGCCTGAGGAGTACCTGGCACTGTTTTCTACTGATGGGTGGCAGGATTTCAGAACGAGGGAAGGAGCGGGCACTGGTACAAGCCAGCCAATCGCTGAGGTGGAGGGAGTGCTTCTTCTTGGCTTTGGGTCTTCCCAGGGTTCCAGGCTTTGCCTTCTGTAACTGCAGCTCCCAAGGATCAGGTTCTTTTCTGAATGGTGAGTTGTAAATACCTGGAATCTAGAGAAGATGATGGAATTTTGATGTTTATATTTAATTTTCATCTGAGACAGAAGATAAAGCTGTGCCAGGAAAGTTTTCACAAGTTTGATTTGGTGGTGGATGCATACTCTGTGTTACCTCAATTAAAAATAAATTACAGTTGTGGACATCTGATATATCTGAGAAGATTTCACAAAATGTTCATACTTTGTCTCTGCTCCAAACTAACAAATTCAGAATTATTTCTGGCTGAAGACTAAACATGTCAAAAATACCTAAGCAATAGTTTGGGTTTCTACTGACCTCACACAGCATATTTTATATAAATGTATTTAAGGGAAAAAACAACAGAAGAACCCTAAGTCATTCATTTTGCATTCTAATCATATACTATTAGGTGTATGTTTAGCCATACCTATAAGTCATATATTCACTAAAATAAACTCTGCATATACACCGCTGGAAACAGTATGAGGTTCAAAGCTGATCTCAATTAGTGTTTGAATGATTATTCACTTCACACTAATGGCAGTTTTTTATAATTCTTTAGAATAATAATCAAACTGGCATCATCAATGCATATTATATCAATTACATATAGTATGCATAATGTATACATACATATATGTATATTATGAATCATTCAAAATTACATGTGGTTTCTAATGAAGAGTATTTGTTGCATTCATGTGGTTAAGGCTATACTTCTGCAGTGTCTTGTTGACTTTGCTCTTCTATCACTGACCTTGCCACACACTGCATTGCAGTAGTCAAGACTTAGCACTAAACCTGCCATCCAACAGAGGTGCCATAGATGTATGCAAGGCAAATGTTAAATTCAAATTAACCAGATGTCCATTTTCTGAACATCCAGTGGTGTTTTGAGTAGACAAGCTGCACAGAACCACATTGTGAAACTCATTGCATAAACACAAATACATATTCATAAAGAAGAGTTGCAACTTGTTTGTTACACTATAGACACTCTGAACTAATGTAAAGAATGTATCCATTTAACCTATTTTTCCCAAAAATGTGTTTTTCTCTTATGCCTCCATCACATCCACAAATATTTCCGGTTGCTATATTTACTTCATAGAATCAGCAGTTCCGAAGTATTATGATTAACAGTTTTCTTTGAAAAACTATCCCAGATAATTTAAAATTCCAGCCTAGAACTTCAAAAAGGGCTAATTTCACCGAATGCCAACCCAGGATGGACTAGTGTCCAATCCCTAATGCTTTCTTAACAGCCCCACAGATCACTCTCTGTCACTGACCATCACATAATTTCATAATTATTTTTGTGGGTGTCAGTCTTCCCTAAGGGAACAGAGCTGGAGCAAAAGACTCTGTTTTAGTTTTCTTTTGCATCCCAAGAGCTTGCTACAGTGCTTGGCAGGGAGGAGACACTCCCAGAAGGAACCCTAAATGCTTATTTAGAATTACAATGCACAATTCAGGAAGACCAAAGGCGGCCCCCACTCCACTCTTGCTGTCCAAGCCAAAAATTATCTTAGTAAAATGAGATTTATTTCAAAATCTTACTGACTTCATTCAAAAAATTATAGATTTTACCCTTTTCTAATTTCATAGTGTGTCCATTTCAAACTGCTTTCGATCACATTGTGATCAGGAACTGAATTATCACAGAAACACTTGGGTCCCCTCCAGCTCAACTTTTTTCGTGTTATAACTGTTGTTATAAATAAGTTTGTATATTTTAAAAATATTTTTGAACTGGCTTTTCCTTGACATTTTTTTTCCAATTAAATTTATGCAAAAAAAAAATACCGAGTTGAAAACATTACAGTCAAATGTATGAATCTTTTAAAGGTGGTATTAACATTCTTTTACTATAAAACAATATAGAGCAAAGTAGATACATAGATTGCATAAATGATGTTAAGAAAAGAAAATACATACATACACATGCTCATAATAGTTTTCCATAGATTGTCATTTTTTAAGTGAATGGTGATTTTTAAGATGATTTTTGGAGTGAAAATCTAAGATGAGATTTATGAATTGTAATGAGAAAAAACAATAAATAGTATATAAATATTGTATTTGAAAGGCTATTCTGACATAAAATCTATATCTACATCTAAGAGATAGAAAAATGATGTATACTTTTGATGACAATCTCATAAACTACAGTCTAGTAATTATTCACAATAATAGAGATTAAAATAGTAAAACACAGACACTTTAACCAGATTAATATTTATCATTTAAAAATATCTATCCACTGGAATAGCTGCAACCTGCTATTAGCTGTACCCCCATTAGAAATCTTCTTTGATCTCCTTCCACATTTGCATGCACATGTATACATAGGCTAGATGGGAAATGCAAATAGATCAGTAGACATGATAGCTTTCTTAAATTATATTTTGCAACCTATATGGAGACCTCCTCATGTGTATTCTCTTAGCAATTTAAATCAAATATAGATAGAAAATATATTTTAATTGAATTTAAAATGTATCATTTAAAATCTTCAAGGAGTCGGTATTTTAGACATTAAATTAATATATTTGCTAACATACATCAGTGAAAACAGTCCAGCGCTCCCTCCATCCCGACTGCAAGCAAATGTCCCGTTTATTTATATTGACCCAGTGCTCATTTTATTAGTATTACTTTAGGTAAATAAAATAAGCCTTACTTACCATTTTCTCAATTGCCATATTTCATAATTTGTAAGCCACTAGTGAATAATGGTTCATTGTTGGTATTTTAAAATATGAGTCACAAAAGGCAAAGTTAACCCTACGGGACTATGACATATTTTTCAGTTTTCACATTTTTCACAACTTAGAAGGGCTACTGCCAAGCTAGCTTTGGGGACTTCATTTTCAGCAATAATTTTCTAGAGTGACCAACACTATGGGGAAATCTGTGCTAACTGTTTAAAAAAAAAAGGTCTACAACTGAGTTATTTGCAGTACTGTCATGCTAACATTCAACTCAATAAGACCCAAGAAATCTCAGGAGAGGACTCTGCTAATAGCTTCTGACTGACCTCCTTGCATCAGGCCCTGCTGCTGACTGGTTGCCCAGTGGTGAAGACGGCAAATGAGGTGTGAAAGCAGGGATTTTTTTTAAAGGCTATGATTCTGACTCGTCAAAAGGAAAAAAAAGAAGGCAATGAGTTATATAATAGATATATATTTTTCTTGAATTCCCCCCTTCAGACCCTCCATCATGGGAACTTAAGCATGACCTAGAATATTAATTATGTCAGGTTGAGCAACGAGCAAATGTACCATTTGTTACCCAGTCACCCTTAGCGTTACATTAATATTTTGAACCCTTCCATATTTTGAACAATCTATCAGTTGGCTCTTTTATTCTCAGTTTTTATTCTTGTATTAAAGTATTATATGGAAAAAATACCATAAAATGCAATGGATTTGAAAACAAATGGATTTACTTGTTATATTTGTTGTGTCTACTATTTTATTTCACCAAGAAGGTTTTTAATGGACATTTCCCATTTATACACTGAGCTTTATTTTGTAATTTCCTGGGGGAAGCAATAGTCTAGTTTTTTTTTTCCTTCTCTTTGTTATTGAGGTTTACTTTAAAAACAAGTTTCTGCAAAATAAAAAGAAAACAAAACAGGATTGTATACACCTTTAGTTTCCAAAACACAATTACTAGAGTTTCAATTTCATATTTTACTCTATTAGAAATAATAATTTCTTATGATTTCTAGGACATGACTGATTTCAACAATGCAGAACTACTAAACATACAGGGAAGGTGGATGAATTCAAATTTTACTGTTAGAAGTGATAATTACAGTGCCAACAGGAGTCACTGAGTGCCACAAAAAGGAACAAAATTTAAAAGCATTTTATTGCCCCTGGATTCAGAACTTGTGAATATTCTGAGAGAAAACCAATTCTAATCAGAGGGCTGTCTAAAACATGTTTGGTTTCTTAAGTTTAATAACAAATGCTTTAATAATCTCTGTGTATTCTTTGGATTTCTTCTGAGTATGTTGTAATTTCTCCTCTTTCATTTGTGATCCCGTTTACTTGTGTTTTCTTCTGTTTTTTAATTTGTGAGCCTGGCTAGCAGTTTGTCTATTTTGTTTATTTTTTCAAAGAACCAACTTTTGATTTCGTTGATCTTTTGGATTGTTTTTTAAAAATGCTTTGTTACTTTGTAAGTACAAAAGAGTAGTAAAGATCTCTGATAACAAGAAAAGTAAAAGTGGGCCAGAGAACTGTGGATGAGATATTTGCTAAGGCAGGGACTGCTGAATCAACACTGACCAATGCTCTTCATCATAATGATCAGGACATACTAGTGCCAGGGGATTTATAAAAATCCCACTCAGCAAATAATTGCCCTGCTGTTAGGAGACAGTCAGAGTGTTAACACACTGTCACAGTCCAGTGTTTAGTAAGATATTCTACATTCAATTACTCTTGCTGAAAAGTAAAAGGAAACACGGTCATTTCTCAGCTGCAACAGTTATGCTTCCACATGCATTTCAGACAATAGGCATATTAGCCCTCAGAGCCACTACCCCAGAAGGAACAGGAATTTCATGGCAATGTTAGGACTTCAAAAAGAATGTCTTTGGTATAAAACCTATATAAAATCTCCAGATTTGGGAGAAAAAAAAAACAAAATTCCTGACTAAAAATGCTTTTGTCTTCTTTCGTCTACTTCAATTAAAATAGAGAATTTCTAAGGTTTTAAGTCAAATTATAGAAAAGGCCAAGTTAAATGTAGACCAAAAGGTCAGGTTAAATATAGGTCAAGTTAGCTGCTTCATTAGGCTAACAAATGTATATTTTTTATGAGTCATTTTGACATTCTACTCATTTTTATCCTATAGGAAATATTCTCATGACAATAAAGAAACTTAAATAATACATAATCTCTAAATATTAATTCAATTCAATAAATACTGAGCTCCTACTAACTTAGAAATACTTTGCTAGATCTAAAGTGGGCACACAGATGAATAAAAAGTGATCATTTCCTCCATCCCC